CAAGGCTCGCTTTTTAGGAGGGCGAAGGAAGGGAGGGAGGAGGGGGCACCCCCCGCCGTACGTCGAGGGCGGCGAGCGGGGACCCGCTGCGGCGCGGCGTGCTCCGCAATGAAAGGCTCTTTAACTTCCACCATTCATTTCCCCTTCCTGGCTACTCCTGTGAACAGGGAGCGTGTTGTGTCAGCGCACGTTTTCCTTCTCCAAACTTAAATTCATAAGCGCTCCCGTCTGGCTAGGGGCCTGTCCTGCTCCCAGCCCCACCGCAGCCGCCGGGGGGGCAATACCGCGGTCACTACTTATGCCTTGGGAGCCCCTCTTCTTCAGGTCGTCACGTCTGGTGTCACTGCTCCTCATCGTTAATCCGACACGCGGGTATCAATGAAACCGGTAATATGTAATGGTATTTTATCGGCGTTAGTCCGAGAGCGCTGCAAAATGCGGTGACTCTTGGGTTTTTGCAAAACAGATCCTTAATTCGTCATCACTCCTATTTATTTTCTTTGCAAATCCCAGAGAACCATCTTGAAGATGCTTCAGGGGACGGTATGGGATCAAGCTTTGCATGTGAACCACAGACCAATAGACATGTTGTGTGTGCGCCCGGCGGCCGCAGGTTTTTTGTTTGTTTAAATGAAGTAAGTATTCCCTTGCAGTGCTTGAAACCTGAAGGCTGGAGCGTGAAACATGAGAATCTGAAAGTGAAACCGACTGGAAGCCAAAAAAGAAACGGATGAATGTGTTTCCACTGTCCAAGCTGAGGAAAGCCCCGAAAGCGAACAAACACCATGAATAATAAAATGTGCAATAGATGTGAAATAAAATTTTTCCAGCTTCGGTCATTGGAAGCAGTCTGTTTTGGTGGTTTCATTTTCTTTTTAATATCTGATTTTTAGCCGTTCAAAGGTAAATTCTGTAATTCCAAGCTGTGCATTCAACAGGAACAACATGATAAAAATTATCTTTTCTTTCCTCTGGTTTCTGATTAAAGAATAGAAAAGGATTTGGATACCACAGGAACTGCTGCGCGTTGCCCATGTATTTTCAAGGAGTTATTTTTAATCGTACAGGCAATTTTCAACTCTAAATACCTGTGTAGTGGCAGCTTTATCATTAACAGCCACCTTAAACAGCATAATTACTGAGCAGGTGAAATATACCCTGTAATAAAACTATATTTGCCTTTAGAGGGTGATTTTATGCAGGCACAACAGTTACAGCATTAACTAATTAATTCTGTGTGATTGCTTAACATATTTTTAATTATTTACTCCTTTCTGTTTTATGCAAAGTTTTTTCTTTATCCTTTCTGATTCCTTAGCTTAAACTCCCTTGTTTAAGGAGTCTGCAAGTTGTTGTGCAAGGAGTGCACAGCTCCACTCACAGATTTCTTTATTAGGCGAGATGGGAAGGGACTCAAAAAAGAGCTACAAGAATGATCATGTACCTGGGACTCATGTTTTAGGCTGGAAGACTTTGTAAATGCATCACAGTTAGCCCAAAGACACTCCCAGGTTCGACATGAACATAAGCTAGAGAAAGCTAGAGAAATTCAGGGAGATTTAGGATGGTAGAGGTGGTAGCAGTACATTTAGGCTAACAACAAAGCGAACTTTTCAACTGCAAGTTTAATTAATCCCTTGATATGTCATTTAGGACTGTGTCTTTAAGGTTAGGTGGGGTTAAAGCCTAAAAAGTATATTCTACCACAAATCACAGTTGCAGAGTTGAAGGAGGAGTTACTGCGTGGGGTTCTGTGACCAGTGTTACACCAAAAAAAAATCGGGTACATAATCCCCGTGATGCGTTCTGGCCTTAAAATTATTGGACCTGTGAATCTATGTAGAACCTATAACCTGTGGTAACACAGGCACATGCAGGATTAGGGTGAGATCTTGCAGTTTTTCCTGCAGCAAAGGAGTTGAAACCGATGAGAAATTTCTGCTGGAGCTGAAAGTCTAGGATTGGGATTTTTCTCGCTATATGGGAGACAGGGAAAATTTTGTGTTGCTTAACTCTCCCGGTGCCACAGCCTTATCTTGCAGGGGTGCCACGTACTTTGCAGCGAGTGCTGCCGACTCGATCCTCTCCTTGGTGAGCTGGGTGATAAGGCTGCTGTTCGTTTACAGGGAGCAGGAACACGTAACAGGTGCCTCCCACACGCCAGGAAGCCCATTGAAAGAGAGAGCTCTTGACATTTTTTACAGGATCGGGCCCCTGGTATGCAGAACTGTACATAAACGCCGTCACTCTTTTTTTGCTAAGCGGTGTGGGGAAAAAAGTTGGCTTTTGGAGCAGATATTTGAAAGAGCAAGAACAGTTCTGACCAATTACAGGTATGAACCATTGATATCTCTTTCGTTATTAACAGTATGATAGGATGTGAAGGTGACAGAATCCTTTTTTTTTTTCTTTCTCTGCTTATGAATCAGCTTGCTTT